AACAAAATACATCATCAATTAAGAAAAAAAGAAAGGAGAGTTAATACTTTATAGGAGTCCACACCGAACGGATTGTTATATTTGTTTTCTCATTTGATTTTTGTTAACGGTTGTTACATTTAACTTACCATAGCTTGAACATATCTTTCAATATCATCAATAAGTTTTTCTTTTTTTTTTATGAATAAACTAAAATGATAAGCGTTAATAAAGGAGATTTAGAAAGTTTGTAACAATATTCTTTGTGAAACAAATTAAAATTAAATTTTACAACGACATTCTTTGAAAAACGGAGAGAGTAAAAATAAATTTTTAACATATACACATGTTTTGATTTTAAGGTTTCATCCATTAGTAAAATAACCAAATCATTGCTAAGTATTTAATATACCTATTATTCAGATAATGGCATCCTGCAGTGAAATTTATGATAGATAATAAATGGTTCAATTCTCCCAACACCGAGATCCACAAATAATAAATGTGGTATATGAGATTTGTTATTTGTATGTACGCATACAGTAATGAATACGATTCATGATTTTGATTTATGAACAAGCAAACATGAAATAAGTTCATCCACAAAAATATATATAAAGAAGAAAATAGATGAGATCAAAATGTTTGATGACCGACAGTGAATAATAATATGTGGAGTAATTATCATATCAAAATAGCATGCCAATCTCAATACACACTCAAATTTGTCTTATCTTTTGTCGCATTTCCAATTTTTGTTTTGTCCTATACGTAACTCTAAATGTAATGTTATCTAACGCAGACCCTACATAAGATAACAATATCATTTTATCCCACCTCCAACGAAATTTGATGTTAAACCACCACCACCCCATATAACCCCGGCACACTCATATATGTCTTTATCACACTTTTTTTTTTTGTGTGAAACTTTCCATTGTAGTATTTTCCATTGCATATCAAATTTTCGTATTTTTTAACTTATTTTATGAAGCTTTTGTTCTCTTGGTTAGAGGTAATTAGGTGGTTAGATAGTCCATTATAGAAAATTACTATATATGGGTTACAACAGGAAGAAACAATATTGACTCAGAGTTACGTAAATCATAATTAGACAAAAGAAACTCGTAATTACAGGAAACACAAACCGAACATAGTGGATTGTGATACTTTTAGCGTGCAATTGAAGTTATGGACTAAAAGAGTAGCATCATTATCATAGAATCAAGACTTTTATTAGCATTAAGTTCCTGAATATCTGTACCATTAATTATCACATTCATTTTAGTCCTCGTTATTCCTTTTTTAAAAAACTATTTCCTATTTTAGACCCTCATACAAATGTTTTACAGAATTTTGTCATTAATAAAGAGAGAGTTAAAACCATATTAATTATGACGGAAATTGGGGTTTCACCTCAAATCTTTAACCACTGGGTCGAAGTTTCCATCAAATAAAGTACTGTATTTCAGATTTCAATCAGTAACTACTAACTAAAGAAAGAAGAATCAACATTTTTCAACAAATTAATCATTAAAAAACAAAATAATATCACATTCGTCACGTTTTGTTTTTTGGGTTTTTGCTAAAAGAGAGAGGTGCAAAAATCGAGAAGAGAGAAGGCAAAAAAGAAAAGAGAAAAGAAAAATATGTATGTATTCCCGAGACAAAGCCAAAGTTGGAAACATCGCGTCGGTCGTCTTATCATTCTTCCATCTATAGGGACTGCTGAAACCAGTGCCGGCCCGGTAAATTTGAGTGCCCTAAGCAAAATTAAATTCCATAAAAAAAAATATTTTAAATTAAATTTTTACCATTAAAAAGAATATTGTAGTTGTCTCTAAACGTCCATAATATTTTTAAAAGACCCTACAAAAATTATTGTTTATAAGAAAACTTAATAAATTTTTAGATAAAAAGGCCCTCAAATTTTGAGGCCCAAATCGGTGACTTCAGTAGCTTGTCCTCTGCGCCGGCCCTGGCTGAAACCAAATAAACATGCATGCAAATCTCGATGTCTGTTTCTTTTTTTACCAAAGCAAATATCACGAGATCAAACATCAAACTAAAACAGCATGTTTGGTCTTTTTGTGTTTCTTTTTTTTATCCGCAAAGCAAATAGTCATATTATAAGTTAATTGTATTTTCTAAACCTTTAGAGCCAGCGTTAACTCAGTGCTAGCAAGATTGGTGTGAGGGTTATTTGGATCATGAAGATCACGAGCGACGCATTGTAACCGTTAGGGAAACGGTTATTAGGAGTAGTTGGACAACCCATCATTTTATGAACTCCTTCTGCTTCCACATGCATGTTACAACTTGTAATCCCAAGCTGTTTTCTATATGCGTACTTGTTCTTTTTTAGCTATAAAAATGTTTAGAAAAATATATCCTTACAGAAAAAGATTTATAAAAGCAAAGATCTCTTCATCATATCCATCTTATTAAATCATTTATAATAATTAATACAGTTGATTTCTTGATATAAAATGTTAATGACATGTTTTGAAAATGTTATATAGATATAGAGGAGATTAGCACAACCATTATCTTTTTCGGGTCATAAAAGATGTACTAATATTAATAAGCCAAACGAAAACTTTGTTCACTATTAGATATATTATTCTCAAAGGCGTTTCCTTTTCACTTTCTTTTGCTTTTGGTGAAATCTTCAAAGAAGCTTTTGTGGTTGTACCCAAACTTTTTCCCAAGTATCCCACTTGCCATAAGATCTGTGGGACCATATAAATATCAGAAAGTGGCACTTTTGCAAACTTTGAGGGAATATTTAATCATACACCTTCTAATCATATATCTTGGAGACTCTAGTATTACCTCTTCACTTCCTCTCCAAATTATAAATTTGTAATTTGTTAGAAGTCACAAGTGTGATACCCAATTACAAGAGATGTATTAATCATAAGATTTTAAGAGTCATAAGATTCAACCTTCTTTGGAAAAACCTAGCAACTACTAGCGCAGCAGAGTTAAGCCCTAGGTATATACTTTTGTATTATAATGGTCGAATTCCCGCAAAATATTGAGAAAGAGCTGATGAATCGTATGCTTTCTCGTGATCTATATTAGTATTTATCTGCACTGATGGGTCCAATAATTCATTTAATTTATGAAAACAACAGTAGTTGTGGGTTCTACGTGGTTAAATATGTTTTTGTTTATAGGTTAAAATATGAAAAAAAGTTGAGCAAAAGAAATAAATAACAATAAGCATCTAGAAGATAGAAGCAGGGAGAAGAAGAGTCAGCGGTCCAATTTATTCTGTCCAAGTTTTGGTGATCATCTTCCTACCTTGCAATCATAATTATTCCCTTAAGCTTAATCATTCACTTTAATTTTAAGCTTTAAGAATACTATTAGAGTTTATTTCACATCCCACCTTCTCCCACTTTCCTCTTCTCCTTTTGGTTGGCAAGGTAAATAAAAAGGAAGTCTTTTAACAACTATTTTCGGATTTTTTTAGTTTCCATTTGAAATTCTATACAGTATTTGTTGTATTGTCCAATCGAAAGTTCGACTTTCTCTATTTTTCATACATGTTCTATGCTTGCATATACATATATAGTATGTGTAATATATCATTACCGTATATGTGTCTTGTTCAAAATTGTGTAGGTAGCTTATGGCCTTAAGATATGGATAAATATAACACATCAAGTTTAATTAATAATATGCTGATTGAATAAATTCATACAAACATGTCATCTTGCAAAGATCTTTTAATGTCATCATCGAATAAATTTATATGGATGTTCCATCTTACAAAGCTATTTGTAGTATATGAATAAAGTATATACTCCTATTAGATTTACCACTTTGATTGGTGGCATGGTAAAGAGTCTCTAGGCTTGTAATGTTCGGAGAACAAGCAATAAGGGAGAGGAAGATATAATAGTTCAATAACGATTGTAACTTGTGACAATTAAGCGGTTTGATTGGCAAATTCAATTCTTTTTAGAAAAAAATGTGTTATCATAAATTTCATATGGCAGAGTTACTGCAGAGTTTGACGCTCTAAATCACATTAACATCTCTTTATCACCCTTTTTGGCTATTATATTTCTGCTCAATATCTATATTTTGAAGCTTAAATGTTAATTAGTTAGTATTTAGTATTTACTACTCCCTCCGTTTCGTTTTAGTTGTCGTTTAAGGTTTTTGCACGCAAATTAAGAAAAACATTAAATTTTCTGTTTTACCCATTATTAATATATTTTATAAAAATTTCATTGGCTAAAACATTAAAACAGTAGGGATAAAACTGGAATTTTCACTAAACATTTGCATTGAAAACCTAAAACGACAACTATTATGAAACAAAATTTAAATCCTAAAACGACAACTAAATTGAAACGGAGGGAGTAACATATTTCTTATGTACAAGAAATTGAGTGGTTTTTGTAGCAGTGTCATAAAAATTTCACAGCATATCACTAGTAATATTACGGAATATACAAATGAAAAATTCTTGTTTTGTATAGAAGATTCAAAAGAACTAAAAATGCCTTTTTCTTTTCGTTTTCAACCTGTAATACTAATTTAAGAAAATGGATCACTACGCAATAAAAGTGGTCTCTCTCGACTTTGGACCATCTAGTGAAAGTACCTTTTACTTTAAAATAACTAATATACAAAACACAAAACTTAAATTGTAATTTTCCAAAGAATTTCAAGACAAAAAAGTTTAAGACATCGAAGCCGAAGAAGTTCAGGCCATTGCTAATACACATGGCAATAATTTGAGAAAAACACACAACACAAATCTTTCAAGTCCTCTCCAAATTGTCTCTCTTTTTTTGGTTTTGATACAAAATGTTTTTTTGGCATATACCTTTTGACATTTAATGGTGAGATTCTGCATGAATCCTAGGACTAGTGATTCTCCTTCGGAAGAAATGTATGAAATCACAATCACACCCTCGCATGCATATTGTTGAGAATCATTTCTTGTTCATCGAAAACTTTAAACCAGTAGAAGAGAGGAGAGGCAGAGCCCTTAAGCATTGGGAGATTAACACATAAATCATTAACTTATACTTAACAAAATAATGAAATGGTTAATTATGATAACAAAGGCATTTGCTAAATACATGCCTTGGCTTGGCTTTTAACTGCACCAAAACTAATCAGAAATGTTCTTCTTCTATAGCTTCTCTTAGGTGAAAACCTATTCTGATACTATCTCTCTTTTCTCCTATATAAAAATATATATATATATATCTTCAACAAGAATGTAATCTTCCCTCTTCACAAGCTACTAGATCTTAAGTTCATGAATCGCTGCTGCTGTAACCTTCTGATTCTCTGTCGTAATTGTTTGCTGCATTATTAGCATCATCATCTTCAGAGCTCTCACTCATCTCGGCGTCATCTTCTCCTTCCACCCTCCCAACCCCGACAACTTCTTCCTCCATTGCCTCGTTTGGGTTACTATTCCAATCCAACCCCCACTTATTTCTCTGACTGTAATCCACAAACTGACCACCACCATCATCATCCTCTGATTCAACTCCTACACTGTTGTCACTTTCATCATCCACTTGCATCGGTGTCATCATTCTGTTGGGTGTTTCGTTGGCCCAGTCTTCATCAATCTCTCTAGGAGTTTCACCCGCTGCCCAGTCTTCATCAATGTCTCTGAATGTTTGCTCTTCTTCTTCCTCATCTTCTTCAACTTCTTCGCTTTTAGGCCTAACAATATTAGCCATTCTATTGACTAGGTGGTCATTATCCTCATCGATCCTCTCTGGTCTTTTTCTAACCGTCCTCTTTCCTTTTCCAGGGACTTGGTGGTTCAACTCAACGGTCATTAAGTTACTATTGACTGCAACATTTCTCCTACCCACGACAAATTTGTTAAGACCGCTTTGCGCTTTCTTCCTCTTCACCTTTCTGTTTGATCCAGATCCCAAGCTTACCCGTGCACGTTTATTACGTCTGTTACCCGAGTTTGGAACAACCTCGTCTTGATCTCCTTGCTCTTTGGGTCCTTTGCCTTTGAAAGGGGAATCTCCAGGGAAAAGGCTCTGCATAACGTGGGTAAAATAAGATTCCAAAACCATAAAAATAACTTCCAAAAGATTAAAGTAGAAAAATATTTCCACAATTCTTGAACCAATATGGTCTAGAAAACTTACAATCTGCTCGTTCTCATCTTCAGGGATCAGCTCAGGTTTCTCTGGCTTCACATAAATAATGGATGCATCAAGTTCTGAAAGTCTCAAAGCAACCGCTGATACTGTCTTTGGTATCCATGGAAGAATGTCCACTGATCCCGGATCATCAACATCAGCATTAGCAGCTCCCAAAAGCTCCTTTGCCGACATAAAATTGGATGACAAAGATTCTTTCTTGATTGCACTCTCTAAGGAAGTCAACACCTATCAAAACCAAAAAAAAGGAAGACATCGGGTTTAAAATCAAAACATCATTCCAATTTGCATTAATTTCGGAAAGAAAAACAAGATGATGGAACCTGCAAAAGGTCTTCAGGTGATGATGAAGCATTCAACCTAAACCCCCAAATTTTTCTTTTGTCCTCTGTCCAAAATGATTCAAGAGCTTCATCTGGAACAGATGCCTGTCAATAAAAATTGAGTTGTCAAGAGTTGGTACCCAAAGAATCGGCGCCTAAGTCGACAAAGTTCATTTATGCTATACCTCGAGAAAAACAAGTAGTGGTTTGAGCAACCTGACTCCAAAAGGAAGAGGAGACACAGTCAAACCTGAATCTAATATCTCTGAACTATCAACCACGTCCAGTCTCTGGTGACAAGAAGTGCAGTGGGTATACTCAGACAAATAAGAAGCAACACACGCATCACATGTTGCTAACAGCTCAGATCTCTTCTTCCCATATTTTCTAGCACAAGAAGGTAGTGAACTGTACGTCTCGGTCCACATCCATCTCTGGAAATCATGGAACCGTTTTGATAAATTCTTGTTCTCGGTGTCGTTTCTACCTAACTCAACTCTAATTGAAGTTGAAGTTTCCATTGAATCAGAGTTTGACCCTGATATAGCACTGGACGGGCTCACAGAATCTGTAGGAGAATGATTCACAATACTCTTTTCCTTCAAGAAAGGGTTTCTATCTAGCTTTATATTCTTACAAGCATTCTCTTTGAATGATCCCTCGATCTTCTGCAGCATTATGCGTAAATGAGACTCTCTGATCCCGCGCATATCCAACGATGCAACCAGAACATCAAAAGCCTACACAGAACAATTTCGCAGAAGGCATGGTTAAATCTCCATCTAACCAGAAGGCAAACCAAAAAGCAATCAAAAAACTTAAAGCTAGAAAAAAATAACAAATTGCTAAGGTTGTTATATTACCTCTTCTGAATCAATGAGGAGCCACTTGCCATCATGTAGCTCAACAAATAAGAGCCCCGAGCAAGGATCACTCTTAGACACTGATACAGCAAAATGCCAGTAACGATTGTGGCGCCGATCTTGTCCAAGCGGCAAAGATCGGTATGGATACACCTCTTCTGCTTTGTGGCCTATATATGATTTTAATTGTGAGCGTGATCTCTTTGAAGCATATCCAAGTTGGGAAGAACAATTTTCTTGACTTATATTGGCATCCTGATTAATAAGTGCTCTCTCAGCAGATGATTTATGAAGATTGTTCGAAAGATCATCCAGGGGCTTTGTTTCATCTAGAAGTTGAGAAGGGTCTCTATCGAAACTATCCCTCTCACGAGTAGAGCTTTGGATGATTGGTAGACCCATCGTTGATTCGGTTTTGCTGCTTGCTAAGTTTTGAAAATCAAGCTTAAGTACATCTCTCATACAGCTGTTATCTAACTGTGCTTCAGCCCACATTTGCTTTTTAAGAGAATTTGCTGCTTCCATACGATCCTGTGAATAAATTTAAATCAGATAACCAATAATGGACTCAAAAGGTCAAGTTCTACTCTGTTCAAGAGGAAAGCTGATAAAAGAAAACCCAGACTTTACCTCAAGACCAGCTCTGATGGAGTTTCCTTCATTGGCAATGCCGACTAAAGCAACAAGGGCATTAAGGCGCTCTTCAACACTTAGATGACAGTAATCCCCTTCCGTAAGACCTTGAATCCATGATTGGCCCTGGTTGCTTTCATCAACCACGTTATCCACGCAGCCAACCACTGTATCTTTAAACCGCTCACTATGTTGTGGAACAATGCTCTTCATACTGCTTGGAGGAGGAGATGGAAACTCCTTCTCAAGCTCACTCTTTACATCAGCTTTAACATCACAGAACATAGTATCTCCCCCCTTTCCTGACAAAACATTCGCTTCACCTAGAACGGCACTTTTTGATGCACTTGCCAGACTAGCTAAATCATCAACCTCAGGATCCTCATCAATATCAATTTCAAATTCTTCATCCCTTTCAAGATCATTCACATCTTCTGGACCTGTAAATCCATTTTCAAATGCCCTTATCTTCTTCCTGGCATCTGCGAGTATTGCCTCTCCATCCGCAGGATCCTTCACATAAGGAGCTCGTACACAATAAGTCGAAGGAGCTATTCTTTCGAAGAGTTTCACATCTCTTGTCAATGCAACAGAAATAGAAGCCTCTGGTGTCTTGCTTGTTGTCAAGTCCCGAAGTCCAGATTTCTTTCAAAGGAAACCATAAAAACGATGTAAATGAAATATTTTCAGTTACGATGAAAACTGCAGAATAAATATAGATTATATATTTACCTGAATCTTGTCAGCAAGTTCTAATACTGTCAGTCCCTTGCTTCCCTCAAGAGATAGTACATGAAAGGCTGCGAATTTGACGGTTCCAGGTGTCAACCGATGCCTTGACTTGCGAGGGGCGAGCAACCCTTTCTCCCGCATCGATGCAAAAGCACTTTCAGCTGCTGAACCATTTCGGATAGTAGAAATGATATCTTCACAACCTTTAGCCTGCATACACAACAAACCAAAACAATGTTTAAGAATAAACTAAAACCATCTTTATGTCAAAAGCCTCGCTTAGCTTCCAGGATTTCATTTTTTTGTTTACATATATACTACTACCATCACCTCCTGAGTAAACACTCGTTAGGATTTAGGGGGCACACAAACGTGAATAAGTACCTCATCCTTATCACCAGTATTGGTCAATCGGGAATGTTTTTTCTTCAGCCTAGGTCCAAATCCAGCAGAGAGTGCCAATTGTCGCAGTATTTCAGGCCACGTTAGTGGGTTCAAATGCTTTTTCCAGCTACGAATGTCAAAGCCCCATGCATAAGCCTAAAAGAGAAAAAAAAAACATATGAAAGATGAAGCCCACTGAACAAAACCAGCAAGAGAAAAGCATATTAACATACGAAGAAAGTTACCCCTTCAACTATTTGCGGATGTCCACCCTCAGGATTGGCTGTAGTATATTGGTTATTTCCAATTCCACTAAAAGGTGTCCTAGCAACATCTTCGATATCTCGTATTATTGATCTCAGAAGAGTAACATGTATCTCCCCCAACAACCTTGAGTCCTACAATAGAATCTATATCAAATACAGAGCAAGAACAATGAAATGAAAGAAACAACTATAGAACACGAGAAAACATGCCATAGGTACTAAAGAGAGACTTACATAGTCATGAAAAGCCTGAATAAACTCATCCAGTGTAAAAGGCCATAGGTCAAGAACATCAGAAAATGATATCAGGAATCTCCAAACCTGAAAAGCAATCACAATATAAGCAATGTGAAATGTGCACAAGGGGTGGCGTAATACACGAAAAAACAAATCCAAACTGATTCCAAATTGGTCTCTAAGTTATTCTGATCATAATACTAATTTTAAATGAGGTAGCAGCTGAAGAGAGGGAAGATCAATACAGCATACCATTAGAAGGTTTCCAACAGTTTCATCAGAATCTTTCCATGGAGAAATGGCAAACGGCATTTTTAGTTGCAAAGACTTTGGTGGAAATGTGCTAAGAGAATCTGAAAAAGTAGAGTAGCTATGATGACTTGCAAGATCCAGAAATAAATTACAACACTGTAATAAAGCTAAGGCACTCGAGTAAGGTATAAGCAAATTACTTTGACTGTCTTGATTTCGGTAAGTATATGAAGAAGATAGATTTATAAGAGAAAGCAAATACAAAAGCTACTACACAACCTAGAAAGCAATGCAATTACAATAAATCTTGGCAGTGTTCTAACATGCTACATCAATATGAATATTCCAGACAAGGCCATAGCATGTACCAAACTAAGAACGTAAAAATTAATACTAAGCTTAAAATTTCAGAGAGGAAAAATACAATAATAAATTACCAAAATAATTGATTGTAAAGCCTAAAAACTAAGTAATCCACTACTAACTAAATCTGAGAGACCATACCTCTATAAACTTCAAGATTTTGCAATGTGTCGTGATCAAGCTGTAATACTGAGGGCAATCCTTTGCTAATAGCAGCCAATTCCATCAGTTCTAGCTGTTCATCTTCAATAAGATCCATAGACTCCTTGGCAATTCTACGTGCAGTTGCCTTCTCAATGGCAAGCTTGCGTCTAATAGCGTCTTTCTCTCGACGAATCTCGTCTTTTTGCTTCTTTTTCTCCGCCTTTAACATGTCAACAAAAAGATAATTTTCACTTTCCCAACTCTTGCCACAAGAGTTGCTCAATCTCAGCAGGATTAATAAAAAATACTAAAGAATAACAACTGGGCAGAGTTTTCCAAACTTACCCTTTCATTTTCTCTCTGTAAGAACTTTTCTCTTCTTTCTATTTCACGACGCTGCTCACGCTGTAACCTCTCCTCTTCTTTTATTCTTTCACGCATCAACCTCTCTTCTTCCTTACGCCTCTCACGCTCGTTCTTTTCCATCTCTTTTCTCATGCGTTCTTCATTCTGAGGACACAAGCATCAACTCATCAATATATATGTTATGATACTAATAAAAGACAATAAGACCTTTCCAAATAATCAGTAAGAAGATGATAAATGAAGAGTAAATACTTTTTTCCTCTGAATTTCTAGCTTCTCAAGATCTTTTGGTCCATGATTCTCTCGGATTTCACTTCCTCTTCCAAGTCTATCATCGTTAATCTGTGAGAGTAAACATAGAAAAATGACATTACAACAAAGACACATCTTGTCAACAAAAACGGATGGAATCAAAGTTGGCACATGAAGCTACCTTTCCCTTCCGATGCACATCATTACTCTTACGCACCCCATCAGGCAACAAATATGGATCTTCTGTACCGAGGACTGATGAATCCTTTTCCAGCAGGAATCTATCACCACGATGAGCTGATTCAATGGGGATTGGCATGGCTTGTTGAGATGTAGAACAGTTACGAGACGCATGTCCAGGGGTAACATAGGACCTTGGTAAAGGCCCATTCGCGTGCATAAATGATGAACTCCTAGAACGTGCAATTTCATAGTCCATACCACGTGCATGATTTTCAGAGTATCGTCCATAGATCTCAGGTGTATAAGAAGACGGATCATCCAGAGATTGTTGCTCATGGAAAGAACGGGCAACAGCATGAGACTATAATCAACAAAAGCAAATAAGTTAAGCAAAGTAGTAAAAAGAAAATATAATAAAACTATGATTACATGAATGGACAAGAAAGAAAATATAAACAGCAATGCGGAATTCATCTTTCGGACAATGATGAGAGACTACTACTGCCATAAGACTAATATGTTAACCTCTATGCAATGAGAACTCTAAAAACTACTCCTACCATAAAATTCATAGACCATCAGTCTATGGTAACCTCTTCAACTGGTCAATTTGAGATATATAGGTGGCACATTATAGCTCAGAATAAAGAAACTAAAAAGAGCATATCTATTTAGTCAGAAAACTAACTCTTTGAGGTCGGGCATCATATCGCTCATACACATTGCTCTCATACGGATGAACTAAGTGTTTCTGCATCCCTGCAATGACAGTGAAAACAAAGTTAGAGAGTTACTTATCACAAGAATTGTAATACTAACACTAACATCAAGTATGCCATTGGTTATACAAGTCATAAAACACGGCAAACATAGAAAGTAATGTATACCTATAGGTGTTCCGAATGCACCAGGAGGCAAAGGATCAAACTCCATACCAAGAATAGGTCCATCATCTCTCAATGGCTCACCTAACTGTGCCTCAATACAGACAATAGCTCTACGCACCATAGTCGACAAGCGTGACTCATAACTCGCCTTTCCCATTGTGTCGTATTCATCCAATTCAGCTCGAGAACTACTACTACCACTAGCAAAATTCCTCCTTGAGTTGGAATAAGGACTGCAACCTGACTCAGAGCCCGAATCAGATCTGGAATCTTGCTCAGGTACCGATCCAGCAGGCGGTAACTCGTGAACGGAAGACGCTAAAGCAGACGATTGAACCGCTGATTTCGCGGGTTTCTTGGACTGACCATCCTTCTTGTCCTTTAACCGTCTATGGCAAAACCACATCTGTAATTGTCGATCTGACAAATCCAATTTCTCAGATAAGTCAGCCCTCGTGGCCTCCGAAGGATACGTCTCCTCTGAAATCAACAACAACAGAGAAACAAGGAACAATTCAACAACATAAATACTAAGAACAAAGGGAAGAAGAAGAAGAAGAATCAAATAATTGAGATGAATCAGAAGAACCTGAATAAACTTTCTCCAAGGTTTCAAGCTGAAACGGAGTTTTCATCTGACGCTTAGGCTTGACACGACCACCATCCTTGGAGGAGGAATTATCAATCTTCTTCTTCTTATGAAGATGATTACCACCAACATCACCAACGCTCCTGATCTGATCTTCTTCGCCATCAGAACCCATCTCCATGGAAGAGAAGAAGAAGAAGAAACCCAGAAACGGCCGCAAGAATCAAAGAACACAAAAACAAAAACTAGGGCTTTCAACAAACAAACCCTGATCCCAAATTATAATTGTCGAAAAACGTAAAAATAAAACAAGTAGAATATATAAGAAGAGTAAGAAGAAGAAGAAGAAGAAGAAGAACAATAATAATAGTAAAATCGATAAAAACCATAAAGGAACAAAAACAACAACAGGGCTCGTACCACTCATCTCAATTTCAACCTTCTTCATATTCTTTTTTTTTTCTCTTCTAATTAAAATCTTGTTTCTTATTAAAAAAAAAAAAAAGTTTTTTTTTGTGTAAATGAAAGAAAAAAAAAATCGAAACTTGAGGATTCTACAGCGAATCGCGTGCTTATGTGTGTTTCTGCCGTTGATGTGTTTATCAAGCTTTTTATGATACAAATCTTCCTCCTTTTTCTTGGCTTTTTATTTATTTAGTATTTGATTTTATTAATTAGTATTTGATTTTATTAATTGGTAAACTAAATTAATACAACAACTCTGGAAGGGCTTTACGAGCTTTGGTCTCGTGTTTGTGTTTGTTTTTTGTCTTTCAGATCCGCAGGTTGCAAGATTATCCATATCCCCCAGTTTTTTTGGGAACCACTTGTTTTGAGAGTAAACATCATGCCGTTTATTGTTTTGGAGTTTACAATCCTTGTCGTTTTTAAACCGGTTCAATTCAGTTTTTTTTTTTCAAACCCGGTTCAGTTTTCGTCCCTGAAATTAATCACAGAGGCAGAGAAAATCGAAAGAACCTGAATTTAGAGAGTTACGATTCGACTCAAAGTAGGAAGCTTTGACTCGAAATCTCGCTGAAGAAGAAGAGGAGAGACGAAATTGTTGTCTTTAGTTGCCGGCGCCGGGGACGTCTGAACTCCGGTGAACAGAGAATGGGGATGCATTTGGCTGCTCTGTTTTTCATTATTACACCACTCTGTGTTTTATCCTCTGAAGTCCAGCAGATCGGTTCTAATCAGAACTTGGTCAATGATCTGGACGCAGCTAAGCTCAGAATACCTCAATTGGGTAAAATTTTGTCTCTTCTTGTCCCTAGTGCTTTTGGGTTTAGCACAAAATGGATATTTTTTTTTTTTGCTAATTGTTTTGTTTTCTGTGAATCGATTGGCTCTGATCGTGTAGAAGCTGTTCTTGAGGCGACCATACAGAAGCTGGATGCTAAGACCCTTTACTTGAAAGAGCGTGAGAAGTTGATTCAAGTTGCTGAAAGTCAGATCCATGATTTGCAGGCTGCTTCATACATTGACAAGGTTGGTTTGGTTCTCTAAGGAGAATGTATTGAACATTTAGCTATCTTAAGTAAAATTAGCTAAAAGGCTTTCATGTAGGATGTTTAAGTATTGGTGATACGAAAACTTGCCTAATTGTATGGATAAGCACTTGATTCTAGGTGTATTTGAATCAGTTTATAAACCTTAAAAGCATATTATTGAGTTTAATTATGTTGCTGCTCTTGAATTAGGGTCTTTGTTTCTGTTTATAATCAGTTTCTTTATTGTGATGGTAGTTGCATTGCTGACACTTGCTATTTGATCTCAGAGCGGCTTACCTTTGGTTCAAAAGAGGATAAGCGAGTTGGAAGAAGAGGTCTGTTCAGCCATGTGGCTATTCAGTTCCTTTAAGTGTTTTTTCTTTTGGTTTATTTCCCAAACGTGTTCTGCCAAGGCTCAATTTACTTTTTCTTCAACTCCACTAATCTAAAGAACAGGGTTGGCAATGCTAGGTTAAACTCCTATGGGCTGCCTTGAGAACAACCAACTTTGAGCTTCACGTTTTAGAGGATAAAGCAAGAGAAGCTAAGGATAAACTTAAAGCTAAGGCTTTGGAAGTTGAACAGGTTATTATTGGCTTTGTTTTACTTCACCCATTCCTTTAATTTTCTATCCAAAGCAGAAATTATGAACTATTCTTTGTAGATCAGAATCATCTCTTAGTTCACTTCATATTTATTTCTATCGATTGATTCTTTCTTACCTTCTCCTTTAAACTCTGAATGTAACTTAAATATGTTTGGTATTTAAGCATCTAATAATCTATGTAACTAAATTTTTCATGTGTCCACATTACCCCACTTTTGTTTGGCTTTGTCCTTGTCTTGTTTATGTTTGTCCTTTTGATGTGGTAGCAAATGAAATCTGTCTATTTCTGATATGTTTGTATGTAAATGAGTTTTCAGATTGTTGCTCACGAAATGCTTCAAGCTCTTTTGGTTCTGACTGACCTACTTTCTCTATCATTTTTAGATGACAGAAGTTGTTACAGAGCAGTGGATTCAGGTTCAGCATCTTGAGCAGGTCTTTAATTTTTGCTTTTAAGTTTCTTTCGCTTAATGCAGTTGAATCTTGTGAGTTGTGACCAAGTGGGGTATAAATTCACGCCACTGATGATGGTTTTCTCTGTTCCTAATGCATCTTGAAGATGAGAGAATTCAATAACCGAAGGCATCACACACCTAGCAGATGCCCGTTCGTGAAGGTAAAATTCAAATCCAGCGGTTAGACTCACAGTGATATGAAATCAGAGGAATATACACTGAAACCGTCTTTTAATCACCTCATAGCCTCTTATCTCTCCTTTGTGTATATGTCTCTAGCTCATGAGCGACATCCAAAGAAAACATCTGCCCAAAGTTGATGAAGCATTTGACATTCACTGGAAAGGAAAGAAGGTTCTCTCTGTGCAACCGTATCTCACACAAGCCCTGTCACAGTTAAAAAGCCTCTGGGCAGCTATTACCAAATATCACCACCAGGTTTTGTTTCAAATAATCACATTTTCACAATCTCCATAATTTAGATCGAATTATTCGGTAACCGCACTTTGCTTTGATTATTTATAGTTGCAAGGCTTCATCGAGCATGAAATGGAAAGAACCGAGATCACAGCGGCTCTGGCAAACAGAGAAGTGGTGTTTTTCATGGTATGTCAGTTCATATTTTCCTGATCTTCAAATGGTTTAAACCAATGTTTGATTTGTCTGATCCTCAATCAAATCTGTAAAAATGAAATCTCCAGGCATCTGCACTGATTACCTTCCCAGTGTTTGGAGCTTGGATCTTACTCTCTTCCTAGTTTGGTTTCTGGATGACATGATCAACCGATGCATCAGAAATGTTCAGATTGGTTTTGCTTCTCATTGCTCAAGAAATTGTCTAGTTTTAAGCTTTGAGATCCGTAGGAGGATCCTAGTAGGATCTATTGCATCCGTGAACAAACCGAAAATCCGGTTAATCAGTGGTTTAAACCAGTTGTTATGGGGTAAGGTGCACAGTTGTATCCAAGTTCAATTGTTGGAGACTGAATTTTGTTTTTGGAAAAAGAGACAAACCCAAAGAGATGCAGACAAAGTCAAGTCCCTTGTTCGTTGTTTTACGTTAGATGATGTTTGTCGTAAGTACTAAGTAGGAGTAGCCTTTTTAGGGTTTAACGTGATATGATTTTACTACATGTACTGTAGTGAAAGTTTTTATATACAAGACCACATTATTGGAAAATGAAAAGTTCTTTTACTGAGTAATAAATTCCTTACACATTCTCTCTGCAAGAAATTCAGAAATTCCATATTGTAGTACAATAGATTGAGATCACTCGTTCATTATTATCATCTTGGGTTAATTCATACATTTTGAGCATAATTTTCTTAACTTGTTTGGAAGTTTGATCTTTTTCATTATCTAATTAAAAAAAAAAAGGAAAAAAGATACTCAGCTACACGAAGTATAACGGAATACATGGCTACACATGCCAAGTTTAAAAATGTACAACCAACTACACGAACTAAATGTATTGCATGCCCACATATACCAACTATATGACGACATGTGGTCAACATCACGAACATCTTATTCTGGTATATTAATCATCGAAATCCGGCGTTGACCATCGTTGACCGGTATTGACCAACAAAAATATTCAATTTTTTTTATATTTTAATATTAAAAACAAAAACAAAAAATTATTCTATTAAATCTTTTATTGTATTGTATAATTAAAGAGGAAAACACATTCTATATAGTATATTCAACTTAAATAAATTTTGTATATATATTTAATAAATTGATTATTATAATTAGTTAGTTTTTTCAATTTCAAAACTAAAATAAAAGTGAAATAAAAATAATTAAGCGAATTCCTTATTTTTACATTGTCAATAAAAACATTAACTTCTTATTTTATAAATGTTTTTGCTAAAATCAATATCGTTAGATTTTTTATTTGCTATATATTAAAAAAAACAAATTACGAACTTTTTTGTTCTTTATCCGTTATTACAAAATTTTTTTAATAATTTTAATTACATAAATTAATAATATATTAAAGTTAGACTAAAGAGTATGTAAAATTTTCTATGTTTTTAACTATGTATTATGATTTTGATTTTAGCAAAAAAAACTTAATATTTTTTAAACATGCAAACTTTAGATTAAAGAGTCATATACTCAATTTTTCTAAAAAATAATAAAATTTATTTCATTTTACTTTTAGTTTAGTTTTGAAGTTAAAAAAATTAACTAATTATTAAAATCACTACCGGTCAATACTAAAAAAATTAACTAATTACTAAAAAAATTTTTGAATATTTTTGTTGGTCAATGCCGGTCAACAATGGTCAACGCCGGATTTCGTTGATTAGTGTACCGGAATAAATGTTCGTGATGTTAAGCACATGTCGTCATATAGTTGGTATATGTGGGCATGCAATACATTTAGTTCGTGTAGTTTGTTGTACATTTTTAAACTTGGCATGTGTAGCCATGTATTCCGTCATACTTCGTGTAGCTGAGTATCTTTTTTCCAAAAAAAACTTAATATAAATAGTTATTATAGCATGGAAAACTACATTTTAGTATGCCTTAAATTACAAAATGTCTCTCGAGAGATTGATTTGTTGATGCAACGGTCCTACAAAGCTCGACTACTCCCACCACACGACCTCTCTTTTGTCGGTCCCATTCCGCTAGTCACGCCACAAAATCTCCCCAACACTTTCGAGTCTTTGTCTTTGATTGATATATTGCATTAACTTTTTTTTTTCTGGGTCAAACCATTAGTAAATCTTCCAATTTGTTTTTTCTTCTACACTTTTTTTTTTCTTTTTCTTTTCCATTGTATCCGTCTTTTATTTATTTAACAAATACACTATACATGCACTTTAGTCTTCTCATTTATATTCCTTTCAGCTTTTATTTTGTTAAATCCTTTTAGCTTTTCAAATGGTTGGTATGTTATTAATATGTCTCAACGTCTGAAAACGTGAAAATACCTACTCTCTCATACTCATCCCCGAATTACTCAATGTTGCTTGACATTATAATTTAATTGTAACATCTAGCTCTCTTTTTTCCTTTTCTGTTGATAATTTATTTGTTTACTTTTTCTATAAATTCTAGTATTATGTTCATATGAGTTATAGTTTGACAAAAAAAAAAAAAAATGTTCATATGAGTTATCTACTACATTGTCGAGAAACAAAATTTGATCATTTATACATTTTTGTAAGTGCATATCTTAGAAGTTTAGACGTGTATCTCTTTATGATTGAAAAATATATATGAGGAAATATAGAGTCAAGAAATTTAATCACTCACAATAGAGACTAGAGTCACATGATATGTGTATTGGTGTCTCCATAGTGATCAGTGGGATTGGGGCAATTCCCACTAACCCTCCCTCAATCCTCGCATTATTACTCGCCTCTCAATTTCTCCCTCTTTGTTTTCTTTCTAATATCCTATTTTCTTTCTCCTTTTTTGGACAAAGTGAAACCACACCACAGAGGAAGGACAAGGACGACAAAGTTTTAGTTTGCTTTATAGAAAAACAAAAATATTTGCAAAACTATGCGATTCGCCGTGACTTCTTGTGTTAACTAAATAAGTTTTAAGACTGTAAAAAACAAAATACACGGTTTTTTTCCACAAAAGAAAAAAGACAGTAAAAAACATGTATATGCACTAACGAACCTTACATTTTTTCATTAATTACGTCAATGATCTTATTCATTTTATAATTAATAACCTAATACTTGATTGTAATTAAATCCTCAAATTATATTTTAAAACTAGTGTGTAACACTGTAACTTAAACAAATAATTTTTTTTTTTAATAACATGTTATTTTATTCAATATCACGCAGTTTATTAGAAAACAAAACACACAACTATCTACATATCTATTCATTGATAACACAGTATTTTAGAAAACACACATCTATTATTCTTGTTTGCTCGTATTATAAAGCCAGAATGATTACGAGTAGCACATGATGATAAAAATTACTGAATTTACTGGTGCATTTCAAATCAGCTTTATATAAGTGTGGCTTTGTCTGACCATCCAAAATAATCAAATGCTATAAGTTTGCTTGAAGATCGGGAAAGTTGGAGACATAACTATAAAGTGATTTTTACATAAGAAAAGCATCTCGAGGCTATTCAATGATCAACACGACACTGTTATGTCGATTTATTAAGGGGAAAAATTAGGAAGAATAATGTTTATAAACAAATACAAAATTTTTTTTACTTCTTCTGTTTCGTTTTAGTTGTCGTTTTAGTACTTAAATTTAGTTTCGTTTTAGGTTTTCAATGCAAATGTTTGGTAAAAATTCCAGTATTATCACTACTGTTTTAATGTTTTGGCCAATGAAAAAATTTATAGGATATATTAATAAAGGGTAAAACAGAAAATTTAATGTTTTTCTTAGTTTGTGTGAAAAAACCTTAAACGACAACTAAAACGAAACAGAGAGAGTATTATTTAGGAGTTAGGACTATAATTAAGATATTTAAAATGTTGTTAGCAATAACCATGTGGATTGGCCTAGTGCAATTTGAGATAATTAAGATAATAAATCAGCTTTATTATATTATATAATTATAAAATTTTGAGTGTGATGCATCACAAATTTCTTATGGTGTATGATTCATTATATAAATTGCAGTAAGATATAAACTTGGACTCCTGATTCATGTTAGATGTATATTACACTTAAATTTTTGGTTGAAATACTATCATGTAAAATTTCAAGTGAAAAATATGAATTAGTGGATTGATTCATGTTTTGGTTAACTATCACTTTATATGTGTGGCTCTTAAACAATCATATTGGCGGTGCAGTTAGGAGTTTTTAACAACTATTATGAGAAATCGGTATGATAAGGGATAGGATTAACAAAAATGCTAATATTTTGCAATTTAAATAATAACAAGTGTATTTATATTTCTTAAAAATATGTAGCTTCCAGCTACTGCTACCAATATGAAAACTTTTATGATAGGACTTGAATTTGGTTCAACTCCTAAGCTGCTAAGCAACAATGACAGTATGTATGATATGGATGAATGGAAAAAAAAAAAAAAAAAGCCTCTCTATCTATTCCTTGTCCATATTTGTTTTCAACAAGACTAGTAAAATACGATCCATGTTCTCATCTCGACTAAACTAGTCGACAATTGTAATTTGGTAAAGTTAACAAACCAAAAGGATGGTTAATAACCTTTTCTGATAAACTAATCTTATAGGCAAGAAAGCTGAGCTACCGCTTTGAAAAATCATCTCATCCTAATGGACCCACCATCAACCATTATCACCTATCCAGTCCCAGTTTCCACCTAACGACTTCAAATTAAAACACATTAAAAAAGTCCACAATTTCTAAAGAAAAAAGTGAAAGAAGAGAGAAAAAAAGCCACAGAGAGCTTAGAGTCTTTCAATATATATAAGCTCACACTAGCTCTCAATAAACCCACTATATCTAATTGTCCCTTCTCTTCTCTCTATCACACTATACTTCACACATCATGGCTCTCTCCATTAGAACCTCCCTCTTCTTCTTCTTCACTACACTTGTTCTTCTCTCCACTCAAATCCATGCAAGAGACAGCTATTTCTTTGGAAAATTCCATAGAGAATCCCCTAAAGATCAAAACCCTAACAGTTTCATCCCTCTCGAGACTAGCGAGAAAACCACCGTAGAAGAATCCGTCCCCAACAAGAAAGAGCAAGAACAAGATCCTACCTTTGTCCCCGAGTCTGAAAACGGCTATGGCTTGTATGGTCACGAGACCACCTACAATAACAACAACGACAACAAAGAAGAGTTCAACAATAACAACAAGTACGATGAAAAAGTCAACAGCAAGACTTTCTCCACTCCAAGCCTGAGCGAGACCGAGGAGTCTTTCAACAACTACGACGAAAAGTACCCGAAGACAACAGAGACCTACGGCACTAACGGTTACAACAATGAAGAGTTCAATAACAACAACAACAACAAGTACGATGCAAACTTCAAGGAAGAGTTCAACAACAACAAGTACGATGAGAATTACGCCAAGGAAGAGTTCAACAACAACAACAACTACAAGTACGATGCAAACGTCAAGGAAGAGTCTTTCCCCGAGAATAATGAAGACAACAAGAGAAACGTCTACAACTCTAACGCTTACGGGACAGAGCTAGAACGTGAAACACCGTACAAAGGTTACAGCCACAACTTGGAGAGACAAGGCATGAGTGACACAAGGTTCATGGAGAAAGGTAGCTACTACTACGACCTTTACAACGACAGAAACCACGGCCATTACTACCGAAAGTCTCACAGCAAAAGCCCCGCTGGTTATTATTCATCCCCCGCAACCGAGACTAACTACGAGCAGCAATCGTATTCGTACGGAAACAACAACGAGGAGAACAGTTTTAAGGATCCGTACAACTCCAAGTGGGAGAAGAACTTGATGAATGAACAGCCTGAAGAGTTTGTTGAGGAGCAAGGCACTAATAAGTTCAACCCTTGATGAAGATTGTTATTTGATTTCCTCTCAAGACTACTACACTCTTAAAAGCACTTTCTTTCTTTATTTCAACTAAGTTATATTACTTATTGTTTAGTCAAACTATATCGTTGTTATCATTGCAACAAATTAAAAGTGAAAACAAAAACAAAAAAAAAGAGAAAGGGATTTGTGTTTTTTAGTTGAGGTGGGTTTGCTTTTTTATGGGTTTTTGAACTTTGATGTTTGCATTTGCATATATTATTCGGTGAAAAGAAAGATAGTTTATATATATGGTGCTACTTTATGTTATTATTCTCTTAGCTTATGTTAAATTAATCACTTTTTGGTTAATTTGTTAAAAAAAAAATTAGATAAAGACTGTATGGATCTCCATTACTATAAATGGGACCAAACGTGACTGCTTATAATGATTTATATAATGGGGGACATGAAGATGCCTCTTCCTCCTTGCGTAAGTGCAAAAGAGAAAGTAATAATTATATTACTTGCACACCAAATATTTAATTTTATGGATCTAGAAAACATATACTCTCCATTGGATTAAATCGAAATATTGTCTATGCCACAACAATCTTCTCAAAGATGTGCCTGAATGTTAGCTATAATCTCAGCCTTGAGATAGATACATTAAGCCTTTGTTATCGCGTTTCTTGCTTTCTTGGCATCAATAGTTTATAGAAAAACCAATGTGGGTTGGGCTAGTGGTACTTGAGGGGGTAATCCCAATATGGTGCCCGCAGTTCGATTTCCGTTGGCCACCGAGGTTTTCACTTGGCCCCCTCGGACCTCCAGGAAACACACTGAGCGTTGGGCTCGGACGGTCCGACAGGGAACCGGCCTCAAGCCTTGGTGTTAGTCGGGTTTCGGTCCGGATATCTGGATTATCAAAAAAAAAAAAATAGTTTATAGAAAAATACTAGTATATAGTCCTTAAGTATGAAAAAAAAACTTTAATTATACAATAAGAATTTAGTGTAATGGTGCCACCATTATGGTGGTAATATGGGTGGAAAAGACTAACAGAAACGCCGGGACAAGTAAAAGACAACGACACTTCCAAGGCACGTAGCAATAAGAATCCAACTCTCAAGTCTTTTACGAGGAAAAGAAGAGTCCCCATTCCGTTAATCACGGCCAACATAAAGGACAAATTGGAAACCTCTTTTTCCTTTTCTGGATTTGTTTACCTTTTCTAAAAATATTTAGAATTATTAAATGAATATTAGTATATTACCATTTACCACCATGCAGATAAAATATTTATGTAATATATATATATATATATATATATATATATATATATATATAATATTTTGTGTTTTGGTGTGTTAAAATCGTGAAATCAAATGCTAAAACAACAGTGTGTATAAGTTTTCCGTTTAGGATTTTTTTTTTTTTTTGTCGTCTAGAGTTATTATTAATTGCAAATTATGAGAACTGTTACATAGACGATTCTACAACTGACAATTCTTTCCGACCCTTACTAGATTCACGACATACTATACTTCTTTCTTCGTAATCTTGATGAATACCTTCAATGATCCACGACCTGGCGACACTTCCATCCCTGCGTAGAATCCTGGCGAACGGCTATAATTGTACATCGCTGGAGATCTCTTGCACACTTGCCTCCATTAATCTGCAAATTTGTTAATAAATCACAATACCTGGGACTCGAACCCCAGACCTCTTGGTGTAGAAGCATTAATCAACCTTTGGTCAACCAATGGGCCAAAGGGGCTTCCACCCGTTTGTGATTTAAGATTGTTATTTTTAGAGCTAATATTTTCTTAATTAAAATAGACTTAAAGGACATCTCAATTTTTTTAGAAAAAAAAAACATTTGTGTTCAGATTAAAATTGTTGTTGTCCTATTGATTCTTTAAAAACATTTGTGTTCAGTTTATTTATTTATTTTTTTTTTTTTTTTTTTTGAATGAATGTAAAATTGTATTCAACCAAAAAAAGACCATTTGTACATTAGATGCGTCCTTGTATTAAAATTTGATTTGAAATGAGATGATCAAAAGAATCTAGTCCCGAGAGGCGAACCAAATCTGGAGCCCATCCTCTAGCATGCGGGAGCCAAGAAGCTGGACAGAAGATATCTTGTTACGCACGATACGGTCTATGAGTTTGATAAGTTGCTCAGCTGAGCTAGAAAGCTCTCCGTGTCTGCGTCTATTTCGTTCCATCCAAATGGAGTGAACGGTTGCTTGAAGCACTAGCCGCAGGATATAACAGATTGTTCCCTTGAATGTTGGAGTTGAAAGTGACAAAAGGATCTCCCAAAGATTAAGAGAGTAGTGTCGTGTGAGGAGCTGGTTGGTTAAAGCCTTCCAAATCTGAGAAGAGTAAGAGCATGCGAAAAATAGATGTTCAAGAGTTTCCATGGGTGCATTACAGAGAACCCACGATGGATTTACTGCCCTGTTCCAAGCTAACATTCACTCCCCTGTAGAAAGTCGATTCCTCACAGCAAGCCATAGAAGAAAAGAGAATTTTGGGATTGACTCAGAGAACCACACTCCTTTATACCAGCTTACTTTTTGATCAGCATGACGAATCTGTTGCCATGTGTTTGACGACGCGAACCGCGGCTTGAATTTGTTGTCAGAACTCTTCCACAATGCAATGTCATGTCCCAAATTCTGCCCCTTCTCTTTGATCTTTGCAATCTCCATATCGATTGAAGTTAGAAGAGGAAGTCGACGCTGCCGGCTTCTGTGGTTAACAACTACTGAAGCCACAGTCGCGTCAGAGGAGATCCCCAAATCAATGAAACCTCTATCACCAAGCCTCTCATATAAACGACCAAGAGGACTCCATGCATCATACCAAAAAGAAGTTTGTAGCCCACTACGAACCTCCACTGAATGAAACTCTTTGGCTTGTGGTCTATATTTAAGCAACTTCCTCCACATCCACGACCCCTTATTTGCGTTTTCCTTAACCGACTAGAACAAAGCTGAGCGAATTAGCTCTCTTCATATCCAATTGACCCACAAAGAATCAGTACAAGAGACTATTCGCCAAATCAGCTTGAAACAGCTCACTTTGTTCATTTCCACAATTGATTTTAACCCCAGTCCACCTTCGCTCTTTGGTTTACAAACATCTTTCCACGTTACCTTGTTTTTCCTTGGACTAAGCTCAGGGCCAGACCAAAGAAAGGCAGGCAAATCTTTTCTATTTCTCGGACACAAGAACTAGGCAATCGAAAGGCAGAATCCAGAAATTTGTAAGACTTGCGATCACTGAGCTTAGAAGTTGTAGGCGACCTGCATAAGACAAGAGCCTATGTTTCCAGGAGCTAATACGGGCTCTGATTTTCTCAAGGAGCGGCAAACAATCATCCAGTGACATGCGCTTGGTTAGCAAGGGCAACCCTAAGTAACGAACAGGCAAAGATCCCACTTCAAACGGGAAACGAGTTAAAATTACTTCTCGGGAAAGGTTTGAGACACCAGCCAAGAACAAAGTGGATTTTTCTAAGCTAATGCTTAAACCAGAAGCCTTTGCGAAATCGTTAAAAACCTGTAGAATACCCTCCATCGACGTGATCTTTCCATCCGAAAAAACCATTATGTCATCCGCAAAACAAAGATGAGTAAGTTTCATATTTTTGCATCTCGGGTGGTAACCAAATTTCCTCATAGCTGCAGCCCTATCAAGGAGAGATGATAAGACGTTCATACAAATCACAAAAAGGTAGGGAGAGAGAGAGCAACCCTGCCTAAGACCTCTTTCGCTTTTGAAAAAACCCGCTAAGTCCCCATTTACTTGAACTGAAAAGGAAGCCGTAGAAACACATAGGTGGATCCAATGAACAAACTTTTCTGGTAAGTTTAAAGCCGTAAGCACATTCAACAAGAAAGGCCATTGCACCGAGTCAAAAGCTTTGGAGATGTCAATTTTCATTGCACATCGAGGAGACACACTATCTTTATGGTAATCCTTTGCAAGTTCCGTGGCAATGAGTAAGTTCTCCATCAATAGCCTGTCCTTTATGAATGCCGATTGATTCGGTGCAATGAAACTGGGCAAAAGAACTTTCAAACGTTTGGCCAAAATCTTCGAGATGATCTTATACAGGACATTACAACAAGAAATAGGTCGATAATCCTTCATCACACTTGCATCAGTTTTTTTTGGAATGAGGGCTAGAATTGTTGCATTTACACCTTTTGGAAGAAAGCCGAACTTGAAGAACGATTGTATAGCCACTGTTAAGTCGCTGCCAATGATTGTCCAAGTACTTCTAAAAAACTCAACGGTGTAACCATCTGGACCCGGAGACTTGTTTAAAGGCATTGAAAAAATGATTTGCTTCACCTCTGCTTCTGTGACGTCGACGAGGAGCTGTTCTTGCTCTTGCGGCGAGCATCTAAACGTCAGCAGCTCACGAAGATCATCAACTGAAATACCCGTGAAATCTGACGGTTGATGTGATAAAAGATGAGAGAAGAACCGAACTCTCTCAGCTTTAATATCCTTCATGTTCTTTAAACAATTGCCATTCTCATCAATTATCTCATGAATAAAATTCTGGGAATGCCTTTCGCCTATCGCATTGTAAAAAACCTTATTGTTTTTATCACCAACATGCAACCAATGGAGCTTAGACTTCTGTTTTAGATAATTCTCCTCTAGCCCCGCCACTTTCTCCCATCTTTCATGAGCTTGAGCTTCTGCATTTATTTCTTGTGGCGTAGGGTTGGACAAGGAGCTTAGTTACTTTGAGCATAACTCCTCATAAGCTTCAGCTGAACGTTGCGAAATATTAGCTAATTCTCTGCGGCTTAGCTCACGTAAGATTGGCTTGAGCAGTTTTAATTTCTTGGAGAAATGAAACAGCGAAGACGTGGACTGAAACAGAACCGGCGTTTCACGCCAGTATTCTTCAACCTTAGTGATAAACTCTGAATGCGACGCAATGATATTTGTGAACTTAAAAGAAGCTTTAGGTTTCTGAAACTCTGAGGACAAGAACAGCTTTCCACGGAGATGATCTGAAGACCCTCCCGGTTCCATCACATAGTAAGACTGCGGAAAGGTTCGAAACTAATCCCCATTCTGAAGGACTCTGTCAAGATTTTTACAAATTAGGCCATGTTCCCTTTTATTACACCAAGTGAATAATGGACCGTGAGCACGCATCTCCCGGAATGAACAGTAACGAATTACATCCTGAAAATCCCTCATCCCTGAAGTCACCATGGGAGAAAAATCAGAATGGGAGTGTTCCTCTAAATCAATTGTCTCATTGAAATCGCCAAAACAAGACCATGACTTCCCCCGGATTAATGCAAGGTCATGTTGCTGTTTAATATCGCGCCAAAGCTCTTTTCTCTCCTCCGCTGTATTGAGAGCATAAATAAAAGAGCACCAAAATTCTTCTTCAAAACCCTGCAGCTGAACCGCACAGGTGATCATCTGCCCACTCTTGAAAACAACTTGCATCTTAGTTTGTTTATTCCACGTCACCCAAATTCTTCCCAATCTGCTGAATTCATAATTAGTAACCAAACTCCAATCTCCGAAAGTCTTATCCAGCACCTTACCAACTCTGTTTTCCCTGGCCTTTGTTTCAAGAATACACCCAAACTGAAAAGAATTTTTCCGAACCCACTCCCTTACTACCTTCTGCTTATTGGATTTATTTAGACCTCTGATATTCCAAAAAAACCCCGACATTAATGTTTAGCTTTGGAGTTCTTTTTGTTGAATTTGCTAGGGACATGGTCCTTTGCTCTTTTAGAAGAATCTGATAGGAATTTGTGAGTATTCTTTGAGTTACGGGGCTGTTGCACTCTCAAAGCACTCACCTCCTTGCTTGAATCTTGTATCGGTTCTGATGCTTGACCTGTCTCTGCTTCCTTCGCAAGAATAGGGATCACGGAAGACTCTGTTTCTACATTCAAAACTTCGGATGGGATAAACTGCCCTTCTTCCCTATTATCTCGGAGAGCATCATAACGAGAGGGAGAGACTATACGCACTTGCCCATAAATTAATCTTGGACTAGACTTTGCACTTTTACCTCATGAACCAGTGACTTTCGTCCATTCTCCTTTGTTTAAATCAGCCTGTTGCTCCCCCGCCGGAGAGACAGGAGACTCTGCCTCTTTACCAGAGATATCCTTGACTGAGACATCCCCTCCATTCAAACTAAGGGTCAAATCTCTGTTCTGGTTTAAATCTAAATCCTCCGAGGTTGGAGCCTTAGCATCGCCAGAACTCACTACAGCCACATTACTAGTATTCAATCTCAACGCAGCAACATGTGACTCCCGCCTAGAAGCAGGAGAACAAGAACCTCTTCTAGGAGAGGCAGCTTTTGTCAAACTTAACAAACATCCATCATCAAAATGTCCCCACTTCCTACAGATGCCACAACGATGAGGTAACCAAGGATATTCAAATTCCACACGAACCTCTTTCCCTCTGACTTGGAAAAAATATGTTTTTGGGAGTTCTTTTGAAAGATCCACCTCAACAAAAAATTTTGCCTCCTCAAAGTTAGAAACCAATTCAGTTTCTGGATGAAGTCTCTTTGGCTCTCCCACTGGACTAGCAAGGAAGCTAAGTCCCTGCCACGTGAACATTGAATGTGGTACATTTTTAATGATGACCCACAAAGGCATAGTTTTGATCTCCGGATGAGCATCCTCCACGATTGGAGTCCACTTTGAAACTATCATTGGTTGCTCGCAGATGTTCCACATGCCTCTACGTAGCGCACGCAACCTCGCAGACACGTTATGGATCCTGAATTTGACAGTAGTATCATTGACACCGTAGACATCGATTTTGATATTCTTATCTCCCAAGTTCCAAATCTTATTCACTATGACATGAATCTTCACAACATGGAGAGCAGTTGAGGTAAAACGACCGATTAGAAAATCCTCCCATAGTGGAACGGAATCATCTAAGATTGAATCTGGCACAGCCACCGTGTTTTTGCCGTCGATCACTGACACTTCAAAATCTAACTTAGCAAGCCTTGGCCTACTTCCAACAACATTCGCATACGACTTGGGACCCGAAACCTCCTTTGACTGACTTGACACTGCCACAGACACATCACTACCACCACCCTGCACCTCCATCGTTGAAAAACCTCCGGCGGCTGACCGCCTAGAAACTGCTTGCGTGACTTGAACGACAGAAACCCTAATCGCCTTTGCTATCGCCTCCCTTGCTGACGTGTAATTTTTCTATTTGTGTTCAGTTATTCCACAATCCAGCTGTTAATCTGACATATCAGTATCAATTCCTACGTATCCGAGATATAATCATATCCGATACTCTTAAAAATCAAATTTTGTTAATATTTCTCACCTAACATCAAAGATTGAGTTTCCAACATGCAAATATGTTCCATACCAAAAATATGATATGAGGCCTTACATAATCCATTTATTCCTGAATTCTGCATTGGCTGATTGCCTTGAACTTATATAGATCGGACAACATATATATATTTAAGTATCATTCTTACATATATAGCGCATGATTAACTAAACTCGATGGCTAGCTCTCTTGAAGAAATCACTAAAACAATTTTTACAATATTTATAACTTTCTACTTTACAAGGGTACATTTTGATTCAAACTGAATTTGTATATATATATATATATATATATATATATATTTTTTTTTTGAATAGAATGTTAAATTATACTCAAAAGAAAAAATATTCGTTTTTCATTTACAACATGTGCAACGTATGATAGAAAAATTTAGAAATTGAGATTAGAGAAACATAAGTGTGTATTATTGCCTCGCTTCAAACAAGGTTTGGAGACCTGTATCGTAGCGTCTATCTCCACTTTCTCGAATTGATGAGAGCCTATTACGGATTTGTTTATCGATCCAGCTGATGAGACGAGCCGTAGAGTTCGGTGTGTCTCCGTACTCTGTTCTGCCATGGACCAGAAATGCTTATGATTAAAGATGACCAGCTGTTTGAGAATTTAGCTTTGTATATCCCTTTAGCAAGAGCCTCCCATACTTCAGCTGCAAAATTACAAGAGAAGAAGAGGTGATCTCTTGATTCAATACTGTTGTTGCATAGAACACAACCGATGTTCCCGTAGCCCATTTGATCATGCGGTCTTCCGTAGAAAGTCTGTTGTGGAAAGCTAGCCAAACACAAAAGGAGAATTTTGGTGTTGCGTGTGCAAATTCCGTTGTATATTTTACCATTGTACTGTAGTAGGAAACAATCTAGTAGTAGCAACCGGGCCTTGTGGCCTAGTGGTAAAGGGGTCACAGTTGTGACTTCCGCCACCAGGATTCGAGGCACGGCCACTGACAGGTTTACATAAGAGAATTGTCAGCCTCGTGGGATTAGTCTTTGGGCCTAGAAAGCCTTTGTGAGACCCGCGGTTATTCAAAAAAAAAAAAAAAAAATCTAGTAGTAGTAGAAAATAAGAGAACATCCAATAGTTTTGTAACCGTATACACTAATTAACTAGATTTGAACCCGCGATACATCGCGGGGCTATAATTTTTTTTAAAAAATCTAAATATAATTAGTTTTGTTTATTAATAGAGAGTATATAATATAATATTTTGACCTATTTTATAAATGTACCATCCATATATCTATATTAATAATTTTGAGTATATTAATTGTGTTTTAGGTTTAAATGGTATATCTATATATACACTTAAACGACATTTGGCTTTCTTCTTCTTCTTGCCTCAGTTTAGGAGAAAGATTTTTCTTGCGGTACACCGCGGAGCTATTTTTTTAAAAAAAATTTCTCCTTAAACTTCTAAATCTAGATTTTACCCCGTGGTACACCGCGGATCAATTTTTTTATAACTAAAAAATTATTTTGCAAAATTTTAAGTTGTATTTGTTTTGTTAATATTGTTTATTTTGTTTAGTGTTTCTGATTTTATAATTAAATTTTGATTTTTAATTGTAGGATTTCATCCATAATATATTGTTTAATATTAATATTGATCTAAACCCGTTGCACCATATAACCCCGTCCCGTAAAATTAAACATCATTTGTTATTTTTTTTGAATAATATTTTTATCCACTACGGGTTGCAGGTTCATGCGGATAAGCCCGTAGAGAGTTACGGGTTTGCGGATCGATCCGCCAAAAGAGAAGCTATCTTTTGAAACCCTTTGTTTTGTTTAGAGGTTTTAAGAAAATATCCCTAAAAAATAATTTTTATTATATGAAAAAAAAGAAGTAGAAGAAATTGTAGTATCAACATTCCCGATTTTTACATCACTCGTTACAATTAATTTTTTTTTTTGCAGATAAAAATCAAAAGTTAACTAAGTCGAGATTTTTAAAAAGATTGTGTAGAAATTTTTGGTAAATTGTTGAGAACATATTTGATTTCAGAATCTTTACTTAAATAGATAAGGAAAGATTTTGTAGAGACTTTTGCTAAATATATGAGAAATGAATTTCAATTAAAAATCTTTACTTAAATAAAATAAATCTAAATAATTAATGCTAGTGGCATGTCATTGTAAATACTTTTCAACTTCAGGATTTATTTGCTAATTATGATCCAAAAATGTATATATAGATAATTTTTATTATATGAAAAAAAGAAGTAGAAGAAATTGTAGTATCAACATTCCCGATTTTTACATCACTCGTTACAATTAATTTTTTTTTTGCAGATAAAAATCAGAAGTTAACTAAGTCGAAATTTTTAAAAAGATTGTGTAGAAATTTTTGGTAAATTGTTGAGAACATATTTGATTTCAGAATCTTTACTTAAATAGATAAGGAAAGATTTTGTAGAGACTTTTGCTAAATATATGAGAAATGAATTTCAATTAAAAATCTTTACTTAAATAAAATAAATCTAAATAATTAATGCTAGTAGCATGTCATTGTAAATACTTCCCAACTTCAGGATTTATTTGATAATTATGATCCAAAAATGTATATATAGATTTTTTCTATATCTTTAACTATCTTTTTAGTTTTTAGTAAAGTTTTTACTAATTTAGATCTAAAATTCATCCATCCATGTATTTAGCTGAGCATATTTTTCTCATTTTCCGGTAAAACGGTAAAACGGTAAAACAATTAATGTAAAAAAAAAACTAGAAATTACGGATAGACACGTGTCCCTTATCCGCAGCAAGCAACAGTTTCACCAAGCTTCCTGTACGTGCAGCTGCACCAGATCCGTCCCTTACTCAGAACCCTACGCAAAACCCTAAACTCTCTCCTCTCCAGAAATCCCAAAAAAAAAAAAAAGGCCAAATCGAAAGATCCTAAACGTCCAATGTCCGCCGCAAGGTCCGTCTTCCGCTCCGCCGCAAGCCGAGCATCGGCCGCCGCGTCTAGATTCTCCACCGGACCCAAGCCTATGCCTTCATCTGCACGGTCCGCGTTTCGGATGCCAAAACAGAGCCCTCTTTCAAATCGCATTTTCAGGTAAATCTTCTAAACACTGATTTGGTCTCTTAGTTCGTTCTATTCTTCATTCTGAAATTGTTTTGGTTTTCGAATGAAAGATCTCCGGTAGAACTAAGCTGTTGCGTGGAGACGATGCTCCCGTACCATACTGCCACTGCTTCCGCTTTGCTCAATTCGATGCTCTCTGTTTCACGCCGTGGTTGGATCCTTGATGGTACTTTACTCTCTTCTCATTGCGCTACATGCTTAGTTGTTTGCTAATTGTAATGCACAAACAAAAAAATGCCACAAGACAAAGTTCGATAGGTCTCCTGAATTGAATTGATACCGAGTTTGATTTGATTGTTTGGTGTAGTCTTTCGTGTGAATGTTTTAGTGGAGAGCTTGGTGAGAAGAAGCCTCTTTTGTTAAAGATGTAAATCATAGTGATGATTATTGGTTAGACAAATGTCTGCATTCTTCAGTTTGTTGCATAATAGTGGTAATGATCCAGTGTCATATGCTTGTGGATCTCCCCATATTCCGGTTGTTGTTGTGTGCTAGATTTAGAGTTGCTCTGTTTTACATAGAAAGTTAAAACAAGATCTTAACTTTATTTAGTGTGGTGAATGTGGCTTTTTTATGTGTTCATGAATTCTGTTCATTCTAAATTTCTCTGGCATCTCTCAGTTTTCTTTATGTGGGCATTATTGATTGGGAGGTAGCTCTATTAGGCTTTTTCTTTCTTGAACACAAATTTTGTGGATCCTGGGTTTTGAGTTTCTCGTGCAATCATGTCATTTTACTTTCCTTATGTCTGGATTTGTCCTAGTACTAAAATTTTTAGGTCTATTCCCTTTAAGACTTTGACGTTTTGATGAACATAACTCATTTTTTGACAAATCTTTTTGGCATCTAATGTTTCACTAGAATACTCCGCCTTTAACTAGTTGGATTGTCAAGGAAAACATACTACCCAAATATAAAAATCCTTTAGCAGATTCTGTTCTGTGGCATCTTTTTTACATATCTTTACCCAATTAATCCAATGTCATGAATCCATTGAGAAAAAAATTCAATTTTTTGCTTTGTAGGGCTAGACGAGACTAGATGAAGATCCATCAACAAGAGTGATGTGAGTCAATCAATTTATCTTCTGGTCTTGGAGTTGTGTCTTTTTACTGGCTTTGCCATCATGGTTATAGATTTTTTTTCTATAAGGATCCTTAAGCGATAGTTTCATAGAAAGATGGGTCATTTGTGGTTTATTCTCTGTGATAGTGGTCTTTGTTAATGCGGTCGGATATGCTTGAAATATTTGACATGCTGTTGCATTTTCTGAATCTCTTGGACTAGAACACTTGTCATCAACATAAGAATCACACTGATACAAAATTGTATTCACTCAGATTGCAATGATGATGTATGATGAATTACTGGGGAGAGGTCAGCGATGCATGCAGTCTAAGACAAGGTGGTGGTGAAATGAAGCTTTTTTTTTGGGTTTTTTGAATTTGATCTTTGGGCAGTTTGTAGAAAGAAACCATTAGAAGCGATAATAACAGGGTTGCGTCTCTTAGGCATTTTTGTTTTTGTTTTACCGCAATAAATTGAGTCGAAAATTTCTAATGGAGTGCATGTATCGTTTGTTTTCTGGTGTTGTAGATGGATGATTCTTGTCCTCACCATTGCAGTAAGCAGGAAGATTATCTTAAGAGTTCCAAGACCCCTTTTGTTGATTCTTAAACCCTATCTGCAAATGTTTTTACTATTTTACTTTATAAATATCCAAGTTGAATCAGTTTTACATGGGTTCGTTACAAAATGGGATAAAGCAAGCAGCTAGATTTTGACTTAACTTGATTATCGTATTGTTTATGCATTCAAATCGGAAACCAGAAATATGGTTTGAAGAAGAAGAAAAAAATACCACAAATAAGCAAGAAGTCAACGCCTAAACATCACACGTGACGAGCGTAGTAGTCCACACGACTGTTGCAACTGCTGAATTTAGTAACCAATTTGATTCCTTGATTTCAGTGACTCGGGAACGAACGAGTCGTTAAATTGGAAATAAAAAAAATCATGTTCTATTGATTTTCCAAATGGGAAGCAAGATCTCCGTATATGACGACGGTTTCGATGATCCACTTTTTGTGGATTTAAACTTAAATGTGTGCAAAAATTTATATATTGGATGATAACACTACATTTCTATTTACAGAAAAAAATATAACATAAAAAAAAAAAAACAATACATGTTTCTTTGTTCCCGTTTGGTCTCATCCCAAAGAGGCTCTCTAGATTCTACAGTTTAGGCCAAATACATTTTTAGTGAAAGACAAAGTAATGATTATGGTCCCAGGTGAAAAGAGAATTCTTATGTGAGGATAAAAGAAAGAAAAAATAGAAATCTTATGTATATGTGTGTCTTCCATTACCAAAAATGTATATGTGTGTCTTGGCTTAAAAGTTAAAATATCTTTTGGTTATTTTTGTTGTAAGTTTGTATACACATTTAGCACATGCCCGAAAACCAGCCTGAGTATAGAAAATTCGAATTTGTTACGTTTTCTTCTTTCAATCAGCCACCAACATATCCGGCGATGATCTTTCTATCAAATACCAATAATTGATACATGCAAAATCTTAATTTCTAAAAGTGTATCATTATAACAAATCAACAATACATTGAGGCGGAAATAATTCAAGAAAATCATCAAACTAATGATTACACACACTCACTCATGTCTCATGCACAGATACACATACGTAAAATGTTAATTGCAAATTAAATAATTGAGCAACTTTGAAATTAAAGCAACTTTGATTTTTGTTTTCACACCATACCTTTCTCTTGCTTTCTTGCACCAAAGCTGTTCAACAGTAACCTCACCCTTCTTCTTCTTCTTCAAAAACTTCAATCATGCTCCATTCTCATTCTTCTCCTTCTCTCTCTCTAAATCTCTCCAATGGGTTATCTCTCTTGCAACGGCGAATCCGCCGTTGCAATCTGCGATCCTTATAACTGGAATCCTCGTCGAAAATCAAAACCGGAGAAACGTCGTCCTCCTAAGCTTCGGATTTTCAACTATGACGAACTCGCCGTCGCTACAAACGGCTTCTCCGCCGGAAACTTCCTCGGGAAAGGAAGTCACGGCAGAGTTTACAAAGCGGTTCTTGACGACGGGAAACTTCTCGCCGCCGTCAAGAGAACAACAATCACCCCCGCTGGTAATTATAATAATAACGTGAGTCAAGTAGACAACGAGATCGAGATTCTTACAAGAGTTCGTCACCGTTGGATGGTCAACTTAATCGGTTACTGCGTTGACCACCGGAGAAAAACAAAGCTGTTAGTCGTCGAGTACATGCCTAACGGTACGCTTCACGATCAGTTACATTCTCGTAGTTCGTTACCGGTCAGTTGGAATCGGAGAATCAAACACGCGCTTCAGATCGCGATTGCTGTCCACGCTCTTCACACCGCGGAGACTCCGGTGATCCACCGTGACATTAAATCGTGTAACATTCTCATCGACGGTAACGGTAACGCTAGATTAGCAGATTTTGGATTAGCGTTGATCGGAAACGTTGACGATGAGCGTTTGAAATGTACTCCGCCGGCGGGAACGTTGGGGTACTTAGATCCGTCGTATTTAGCTCCGGCGGATTTGACGGCTAAGAGCGATGTTTTCAGCTTTGGGATATTGTTGTTGGAGATTATTAGTGGTAGAGAAGCCATTGATTTGAATTATAGTCCGTCGTGTATTGTAGATTGGGCGGTGCCGTTAATCAAACGCGGCGAATTCGCCGCGATTTGTGATTTGAAGATTAAGAACCGTCCTTATTCCGCCGTGATTCGGAAACTGGTGATGATGGCGGCGAGATGTGTGAGATCGACGGCGAAGAAACGTCCTGATATGTTAGAGGTGGTTGAGTGTTTGAAAACGGTGAGGAAGTTATCTCAGGCTTCACCGGCGTGGAACAGGCTGCGGCGGAGGAGTGAAGAGAGATCGGAAAATGTTTTCGGGGTTGAGGAAGAAAAGGAAGAGATTCATGTGAGGATTGTGAGAGGAGGAAGCAGGAAGAACCGGAAGGTAACGAACGTGACGTGTGTGGATGATGTATACGAGAGAATAGTTCCGGAGGAGACGCCGCCGTTTCGTCGTCGGAATTTTGTGCTGAGGTCGAGATCAGTGGGAGCGAAAGTCGGACCGGATCCAAACGACGGCTTTGGTGATCAGGTGGTGGTTACAATGAGAATATTTATCGAGAAAGAAAGACCGGTGACGACGGCGGCGATGAGACTGAGCAAGTCGAGGTCGGTGGGGATTGTACGTAGTTACAAAACGGCGTCGCGGAAGTGATATTGAGTGTTTTACAAAAGTCAGCAATTTGTTTGACCGTTGCCTTTTTTGTTTTCCTTCTATTTTTGTTTTTCTCTGTCTCATTTGTTTTGTCTTTTTTTTATTGAGCTGATATTGGGGTTTTTACTCTTTTTTTTTTTTTTTGTATTGAATAAAAATTGTGTTTGCTACGAATTTTTCAAAGTGATTACTGAAAAAGTTTTTAAAAAGTCAGAAAGGGGAATGGAATAGACTACTTGAACATTATAAAGTTGCATAGAAAATTGAGAGTTGAATGTTAAATATTCATTCACATTTAATCGAATCTTTCTTTTTAAACTAGGTTTTGTCAAAGATGAAGTTGGTCTTTAACTAAATTTTTTATGAATCTTTTTGGTCCAGCTTTGCTCCTCTCTCGCATTGAAGAGGACAGACGTGTTTGAGTTCATAGTTTCTGAAGCCACTGTTATCGAAGAAGATCTGAAGCAACAAGGAACGATGATACTTTTGTGATTCAGTGAAGTTTCCGAAGGAGAACAAAAACGAAGCCGGTTCAGTTTCATTCAAATTTGTTCTACACGAATACATATACTATTATGTAAAATAAACATCATATACAACGAAACATTTACAACAACAGATAAATAAATTTTGTTCACAACCCAAAAACACCTGATTAAAGCTAATCACAAACTGAAACCTGCAAAAATCCAACACACACACACTACACTTGTGTTCCCCACATAGACACCCCTCCCTGTCCTTCGGAACTGAATGAATGAAACTCTCAGACCAGCGAATCTTCCGATATAACAGTAAGCAAAGAGTATTTAGCTTTGATTGAGATCTTCCCTGCCTCGACACAAAGTTTAGCCCCAGTCACAACCCAATATCCAGGTTGTTCCTCTGGACCTCTCATCACCTCTTTCGTGTCTACAAGACTCAGCAGCTTTGGTTTCACAGGCGGTGATGGCCCTCTAGGATACACTGCAGAGTTTATATCAATCTTAGACTGTGGCTTCGTTGTTGCCGGGTTTGGACTTAAACCCGTGCTTAATCTTGTACTAATCATCGAGAAAACACCTGATTTGCGCGAGTTTGTTGACAGATTATCCCAGCACGATTTGCGTGTAACAGCTGAAGCATCGTGTGAGAAATCGAGCCTCAAGAAGAGAACTTTCCTCATACCAATTCCTTTGACTTCTAACCAGGCTTTGGTTACAATTGAGGCGGTGTCATCAGACCGTGCTCCGTTGTACTGAACTGGGAAGGTGCAAACATGTGAGAATATTTCCCATTTCACAGGTACATAATACCCTTTTTCAGCTGGTTCATCGATGGGTTCATAGGTTTTATCGTGTGAGAGATGGAGACTTGGAGGACATGTAGAGAGGTGCTGCAAATGTATTGCTAGATGATTTCCTTTCTTCCCCTCAAGGAAGAAGCGTAGTCCGGTTACTGGTCGCTCACCTGAATCAACCTACACAACAGTTTTCAAGAATTGAAAGTTTCATTTGAGCAAAGGTATATCACCTACAACAATGTGAAAAACAAGTGTACCTTTGATGTGTTGACGTATAGTTTTGGACCCATCAAAGAGAACTGAAGGGATGGAGAACTTTGTTTTGAGCGGCGTAGTCCAAGAGGGAGATCTCCATACACCGGAGCCCATTGGCGTGGAAGTTGAAACTCAAGAAATTGATGCAACTCTTCTATCGGTGGCTTATCTACAACATTTTACACAACCTTGTTACCTGAATGAACCGTTGAGTACCTAAGATACAAAAGCAAAAAAAAAAGAACAAAATACTCACATCGGAGGTATAAGTTCACTGCATGACTAAGAAATCCTGTTCCTGGAAGACCGCTCAAGAGTGAAGTTATAGGAACAAAACACATGGATATGACGTTGGGTGATTGTGATACTGTTGAGAGCCATCGTTCATGACTTTGCCCCAGATCAACACCTCCTCTTCTGATACAAACCCTCACAATCTCCTGGAGATGCAAAATACACGTTTACTTTAAGCTTAAAAAGAAAAACCTATATGACTCACTCAGTGCATCAATGCTAAGAAATAGAGGACCTCGTTCTTGGTGTGAGTGACAACAGCAGAGCTAACCGAGGTACCAAACGGTTGAAGTCCCCATTGATGAAGATTCTCCTCCTGCAAAACCATCAAAACATGACAAAGCTGCATTGTGATTTGAATACAACGAGACTGATAGCTAAACCCCGACAACTAGACTCTTCTTTACCTTTGGCTTTCCGGAATAAACAGAAGCAGGAGATTTACTTTCAACAGGATCAACACAAAATCTTTCATCACCCCAATGCTTCAACATTTTCTGAATTTCATCAGGTTCGTGATTGGATTTACGCATCTGCTTCACATGAATAACATCTTTACCTCCCATAGTCACTCCAACAACTACATGAGTACCATATTTCTCAATAAACCTATAAGAAAACAAAAATCAATCATAAGCTCCAAATCACACTTCAAAAAACCCACTCAAAAATCTCAGTCATCAAATCATACCCAGCAAGTGAAGCAGAGTCCCAAGAAGAAGGAACCTCACGTTTCACTTCATCACGTAACGTCAATTGCTTCCTAACAAGCTCAACACTATACAAGCTAATGAACCAACCATCATAAGCTAAATTCTTCACAGAGCTCGCATCTTTTGGCCAACATTTACTAAACGCAAACATATTATTAAACATCCCCGACGGAATCTTCCCGGAGAGACACATATCTTGATTAAACTTCTCCGACATCTACACAAAAAAAAAATCAAACTCAAAATTAGGGTTTCTACAAAGAAAACACGAATCAGTGATGATTAGATATACTAAACCTGATTAAAAGAGAGTATATCGGAGCGTAATCGAGTACGTTCGCCTTTATCGCACTTAATCGAGCTCGAGACGTTATTAACGACGATCCCACCGGGGAAGACTAAGTCACGGTTCCGGGTCGGGTCGATTTCGACTAACCTAGAACCGTCTGGTGTGGTTTTACAAGCGGAGAAACGAACATCGGAGCAGAGATCGTAACCTAATCCGATCACTGAAACGGCTTTCTCGGCGGCGGATTGAGCATCGAGGCGTGTGAAATTGTTAAAAGCCATGGATCGGAGAGAGAGATGATGATGATGGTGATGAAACGAAAGGGAAGAGGAAAATTCAAAAGATTGTGGCTTTGTGTGGTGAAGAAGAAGAAGAAGGCGAGCGCGAAGCCATTGAAGTGGTCAACGGTGTATGGCTCAAATAGAAATAATTTAGGAAAGAAAATATTTAGTCAACACGTAATTACTTTGACTTCACGGCTTTATGTTTGAATTTCGGATATAAAATTATATAGTGTGAACATGAATGGTTTTATTGTCACAAAAGGAATAATAATATTTGTAGTACCTAATTTAATGTTGATTTAGCAGCAACTAAACTATAGAAATCGATTATTGATTTTTTTTTTTTATTAGAGGACACTTCGGCAGTTATGCTGATGAATGACTCCCTCTGTTTTTTAAAGATTAATGTTTTGAGTTTTCACACAATTTTTTTTTTAAAAAAAAATTATATCTTTTATGATTTTTTGTTAGTTTAATGATGTTAATTCCACTTCTCTCCTCCTTCTATTAGTCTAAAATGAAAGTAATAATGATCTGGCGGATGTCATGTAGACTTCATACCAAAACATGTAACATGAAACTTTCTTTGGTAGACTTTTCTCATAGTATAAGGCTGTGAGGCAGAGAGGCGTTACATCATCGACCTTAATATTTTATTTCCATGTAAGATTTTTTCCGATAACCCTACATGGGTTTTGTTTGTATAATTGGGTGTCAACCACACTATAGTTGATATATGTACATTTTTGATTGTTTACACGTTGTTCGTCGCATGTTACTGTGTGATTGACAAAGTTGCGGCGTTAGACCGGATATCGTAGCTTTTTAGATATAAGTTTGAATATAGTAAGATTATTTGAACAATTCATAATTTAGTGAGAATTGTGATAATTTTTGTGGGTTTATTTGTCTCTCTTCCATCGTTTTTTCTTAACTCGTTCGTGGTCACAGGATTAAAATTCTAGACATTTTGGTTATAAAGCGTTTGTCTCGTGTTCAAATTTTCTGTTACGTACGGAAACTGCTAAGGAAGATAACATTATGCTATGCATGCTAATTTTAGTCGTAGCTTCTTATGCTCCATGTTTTTAATAGAAATATTTCTTGAACTCAATCTTTGCTCATAACTGAATAAATGACAATGTTCTTAAGATTATACTACACATACATGGTTTATCTAAAGAGTAGAGAGTGGAACAAGATGTGTATATATATATATAACTATTTGTATCTACTACAATACACAAACGAAGACATTATTCGTATGCAGTAAGTACATATACAAGCCTTAATTAGCACTACGTTATTTATACAACACATATATCAAAAGCTTTACCCGTAAGTAGCAAAGTCGAAGAACATATCCAACATGTCTTCCGGTTTCATTTCGGCTTCTTATGTCTCTGTTTTGGACCTAGACTGCCATGAGGAACTGGCCCGGGATAAGGAAAACCTCCTCCGTAAACCGGGCTTGGATTCCAAAACCCGTAGTCGCCATACAGCTTTGGTAAAAAGCTCTTGGATTTAACCCTAAACGAAGGATCTAAATCTTGAGATTGAAATTTGTTCGTAGAGATAGAGGGTCTTGCCATTACGGTGGAGATAATGACGATAATCATGAAGGTAGTTATGAGAACCATAGACATGCTAGAAACATGAAGACGCATTATCATTAAAACTCTTACGATCTGCATGATGCTCCTACCTATTTTGAGCTATTTAAAAACAGATTACATAAAGGATTACAGCTCATATCTTGTTGAATTAATGTTTTTGTGTAATTATGAAACTAGCTTGTTTTATATCAAACGTATAATGTAATTAAGATAAGGCATTTGAGGATTCAATAGTTGTTTATGTTTATCACGTCTTATGGATGAAAAAGATCATGAGGTTTGCATGTACTTTGTTGTTTATACACTAGGAAACGAAATCAGTTGGCTATTAATTCTCAAAAATAGATAAAGGCCCAGTAGTATGGCAAGGCCCAGTAGTGGTCAAGACTCGATTCTAGTAAGTAGTAATGATCTAGGCGAATTATTTTTTTCCTTTTTGTCATCATCTATTTGAAAGATACATAATATGTAATAGACTTAAATTTAGTTTCATGATTCATTATATTAATATAACATGTGTTTTAAATGATTTATTTTAGTTA